TTCATTCATTCATTCATTCATTCATTCATTCATTCATTCATTCATTCATTCATTCATTCATTTATTTGATTCATTCATTCATTCATTCATTCATTCATTTATTTGATTCATTCATTCATTCATTCATTCATTCTGAACTGATATGTATGCAGACTAGTTCTGCACAGTTCAGTCCAAATGATTGCAGTTTACAATTTTCTGTCGTTTGAATGCAAAGCAATTGCAGAAACATAGTGAAAAGCTAGAAGCAACCAAAAAATGATGCACTTATAAAATGAGGATCTGCCATTTGAATTAGGCTGATGTGTTCTTCTTTTTCTTGAATTGCCTCAAATTCAGTCATCATTTTGCTGCTTCGTACTTTCGATATGCATGTTTTTGAAGCCTTTCTAGCAATTATATCAGTTTATCTGCCCTATTTTATGTTTTTTTTTATCTGGCTGATTTCCGTATAATTTGCTACTTGCACCAATTCCTACTAATCAGCGTTAATCGCTTTCATACACTGTTCACAATACCTAGTTTCCAGCTTCACATCTTATTTGTAGTTCTTATAAGTAAGGCTGTACTGTCTAACCTTACATGTGTGAATGGATGTGCAATGGTACAAATTTATACACACATATTTCTGCAGTAACTATGTGCTGCTCACAACTTCTCGTTCAAAAACCTCGTTGTGGTATAATGAATGGTTGCGGACTAGGCAGTGCCGAAATGCGGGCAACAGCATTTTTATCGGCGCGTGATACTGTTAGTATGCATCAGGGTAAACGCGGTATGGGATAAATACGAATCAAGGAGTAATCACAAGCTCCAGGATCTCGAGCGTCTTTCAACCCGATTTTACTATGGTGGATTAATAACTTGCAAAAAAAGAACAAGATGAATTATTACTACGACCATTTACAAGCTGTCTGCTTGCTTGCTCACATTTACAAGTGTTTAGGAGAATGTGCACTGCTCGACAAAATTCTTGAAGCTATACGAAAAAGTCAGACGAATTTTAATACAACGCGAAGGAAGTTTTGGATGAGAGAGTTTTTTAGAAATTTTGGTCAGGAAAGCAACAAAATTATCGATGAGCGTCTTAGTAATAAAGATCTGTTAAAAATGCAAGAAGAGTAATATTCTTTATGTAAAAATGTTGAAGTGCCTCACCATAAAGGAGAAAACAGTCCACTTTATGATCTTCAAAAAGAAAACACCTGTTTTCTCCTTCCCATCCTCCCCTCCACAGTCTCTTTCTTTCCTCTGCTTTCATCTTAGCTTATATTGTCATTATGACCGTGGACACTTGCGGTCTAAGCCAGCCGTTGGAACACAAAAATGTGAACTCTTTTCCCTTTCTTTTCGGGAACGGTGATTTCGAATTCAAATGTATGGCGCTAACGCTTTGCTACGAAACTTTTTCTTTGAATGAGGTTTCACAGGAACAACACACTAAAATACTCAGAGCGGGAAGCACCGGTTGCCTGGTGGACGTATCACTGTTCCTCACACCACTTCTCGCATAAATCAGGTAGAACACGGGAAAGGGCTTTTTCTCAGCACGTCTTTTGCAACTGTCCTCGAAATGTCGTCCCATAGGCTACTGGAAAAAGCAGCTTGAACGTAAGCACTCATGTGCTCAGTAATTTACGCTTCGCAGACCACACAGCTCTCACTGTTAACAATGCTCGGAAGCTTTGTGCATGAAATAAGGAAGAAAATCAGCTCTTCGGAAACGAGATTGATGCAGAGTGCTAGTCAGCACAGACCCATACGACACTCGAAAACACTTGCTTCGATAGCTATATATCCATGGGCTGAGAAGCGGATGTACGCCTGGATTTTGTACGTCAAAGCAGTGTAGAATAGCACAGTTTGCGTTGCTTCAGTGATGTCTTCAGGATGCCAAAGCAGTAACTGTCCTTGATCATTTTGCTAGCTGCAAAAGCATGCGAATCAAAGACAAGTGTGGGAGAGCAAGGACTGATTGAAATGGTATGCACGATGGTTCCGTGCAGGTCAGAAAGTATGTCGTAACGTGAAACGACCAAAATGCTGAATATCATCTAAACCACATATGAGCTGCTGTTATCCAGAAGAATGCCGCTTCAGCTGAAGAGAACTGCTTTCGTAACATTCCTTATTTCTGATCGAATGCGTAAAGAGTGCTCTCGGCTGATACTGGTCATTTTTCAGAATGTAAAATTACTTTATGACCTTATTTGAATAAAGAACGAATTCATCTTTCTGTTGTATCTTTCCACAAGTTTGTGATACCAATTTTTTCAGGAAGAAATGTGATTGACTGCAGTTATCATTATCATCACCATCACCATCGTCATCATCGTCGTCGCCTGAGCACTAAAATCTTGTTTAAAATGGCGGAGCAGTTGCTCGATTTTAATGGTACAGCAATAAATACAGTTGGCGGGATTTACATATTCATTGGAATCATTGGGTTTATTTGTAATCTGGCTACACTGCTGATGATTGCAAGCTACCGTATGTATCGCTTGTCTGCCTATACGATCATGGCTAACTTGGCCCTGGCTGATGCATTCATGCTTATTGTTGCTGGCCTCATCTGCGGCCTTAATATATTACAATTGCCGCTCTTCGACCGCAGTACTACTGCTTCCACAGTTCACATTGCTAACTACTCTGCTAATAGTACGCCGCTACTGTTTAGCTTAGATATGAAGTTTAATGAGCTCTCGCGGCATACTTTTGGCAATGAAGCAGCACTGGTCAAGCAACAACCATCGGATTTGATTGGAACTGACCGCAACAGTCGGCTCAAATTTCAGTTTGATGCATTTTCGGAAAATTTGCACTTCTCGATATTTTTGCTGTCGTTTTTTGAGATAGCTGCCTGGACAGCAGGTATGATGAGCTACGCATTTCTGGGTATCAATCGTTGTGTTGCTATCTGCTTCTATCGCACCAGAGCTAAAACAATCAATCGTGTCTCTTTCGCTCTTATTGGTTCCACAATAACGTGGATTATCGGCGTCATCACAGGTTTATTCTACATCCTTTTTAGTCGTAGAACTATATTCATTATTATTTTTATAGCTTGTTTTCCTCATCCTTATAATTAACTTCCAAGGCCGCTCGAACAACCATTGTGAAAGACCCTGTGTTAGTAGAGGCCCTGAAGATCTTTTCAAAACTTGAATTCTTCAATTATCCAAATTTTTTCATAATTGAATGAATAAGCCATGTTGAAACCAAGTTTCAGCACTTTAATTCGTTCTGTTTAGCATGCATTGGCACCATGCCAGTACCACTGATGGGTATGCGAACAGATATGTGGACGGTGAGCTTTTTAAGTACAGCCGGAAGAAGACCAGGTATGCTGCGTTTTGATATTATGCGTCTTTTGCAGCAATGCAATGCGAAAAACGCATATTGACGAGAGGTTGTCTGTGTGTCCG